CCAAGTACCTGAGAAATACTATGATTTTTTTATTATCTTGAGTAGATCCCATCTCTGTATGCCAGGAGTCTGAGGCATTAAATGAAGGATGATATTTGCCTCAGATTTGCATATATTCTAAATATCAGAATGCCTTTTCACTGAAATTAGATCACTTGAAAGCCCTTTACCTTTGTGTATGCCTACAATGCCCTGAAGACTTTCTAGAAAGAATCTTGCATTGATTAGCTTTCAGAAACATTATAAAAGTAGCTTTCTGTATAATGAACAATCATCTCCATTGAATTATTGGGTTTTCTATTTTGTCATAAGTAAGGTTTGTTCTACATTGTTCTACATACTAGGTTTGCTAATTCTGTGCCTACTCTACCTCTAGCATTTGGAGCATCCGTATGCACTCCAACAGTTCTTGTTTGCTCTAGTTCAGAAATCAAGTGAAATAGTGCCACTGTCATTCTAATAGTCCAAGTGCAGCTTAGTCAGAATTTACTGTGTTATTCGTCAGATTTTTTTCACATCTGTGATTTCCCATGTAGGAAAATCAGGACACCCAGGACAAAGTATTTTGACATCTCAGTTGACACTTGAAATTGCTGATCTCCTTTTGAGAAGACTTGTTCCTAACTAGTTCAATACATTTTATTAGAGCTTTTTTCTCATTACTGCATTATCAGAACTACTTGTCCAAACTAGAAAACATTTCCATTTAGTTAGTCTTGCATTTTTTTCTCACTCAGTTGGCTCTACTAGGACATTTTGCATTAAATTATATTTTTTGAATGAAACACATCTTTCGCATTGTTGCATCATAGAATGACCTGGGTTGAAAAGGACCTCAAAGATCATCTAGTTTCAACCCCCCTGCTGTGGGCAGGGTTGCCAACCACTAGAGCAGGCTGCCCAGGGCCTCATCCAGCCTGGCCCTGAATGCCTTCAGGGATGGGGCATCCACAGCTTCTCTGGGCAGCCTGTGCCAGTGCCTCACCACCCTCACATTGAAAAATTTCCATCTAATATCTAACCTAAATCTCCCCTCGTCCTGTCAAAGTATGTTGCACTAGGCAGTCATTTTAGATGACTTGAGCAGTCAATTTTGTTATATTTCACAGCTGAGACTTTTGAAGCCCTTGGCTCTTAAGAACTTGGGTGTTCCTAATATTTAGGGATCTTTCCTTCAAATTTACAGCTACCAGTCATAACGACTAGGTATTCATATGATCTTCTTAAGTAAAGTCATTCATGGCCTCTTATGATAAACTTAAAGCACATCATTTGTCAAGAATAAAATATTGCTACAGCTGCGTACCAAGCTGATATCCACGTTCTGCCTTTCTTCCCTCATAGGAGGTGTAGAAGGTATAGTCCTTTCCTTTGTGAGTGTAAAAAAAATTTTTGAATACAGCTGAAGTTCCTCACAGCATTTGCTGAAAATAAAAAAGTGTTGCAACAAGTTGTATTTACAATGTGTTTTGAAATGCAGAATAATAGGATTTCTTATATAAAATGAAGCCCTCATCAAACTGGAAGTATACTTTACTAAAGCTCAAGCCTATGTCGTTTGTATCTTTGCATATATTCTACCTCAGACATTTGAGGGGCATCAGTGTGATTATCATGATATCATATTGGGCTCTGCATGTAATGCAGAATCTAGGAAAGTCTATGCCACGGTTTTTCTTAAACAGATTACAGACCCTTCTGAGCAGCTGTTGTGAATATGCTGTCTTGATAAGTCTGCATGTGCGTGATAGTCAAGAGAGCTAGGCTTTTCCAGCAAGGCTTTTCCCCTTGTTTATTGAAGGAAAACAGTAAGTCCTTGGCAATCATACTAGCACTGATTCTGCAGTCCATCATACAGTCGTTATTCTTCCTTAAATCTCTAAATGCAGATCACTAATTTAAAAACTTGCATTTTTTCATGGGAAGTGTATGCCTTACCTAACCAGAAATATTGGGTGAACTAGTGAACTAGCACAATAATTTAATCTTTACTCAACTTCCAACTTAACTGTGGAAATAACAGTAGTAATTCCCTCACCGCTGTCCAAACATTGTCCTACATAAAGCATTGTCTATTTTTCATTTTGGAAAAAAACTTGAAATAGCTTACTGAGTATTGAACTAACTTGCTAGTTCATTTTCATTCTCTTCAGCTTAACAGTAGAAAATGAGAGCTTTTACCCTGTGTACCCCAGCATCTGGTGAGATGGTTACCATGTGCATGCTCAGTATAGCCCAGGGGCTGCAGAACAAACCCGAGAGAGAGTTATTGAGCACTTCACAGTAATTTTTGAGAGTGCCTTTGCAATGCAACGTTTGTGTTCTTATGGTGACCTGACTCCTAAAGGTACTGTTCTCAAGTAGTCTTTGAAGTTCTGCTGGCAATGCGTTGATCAACTTGTCCTGCCAATTAAGAAAAAATGAAGGCGGTAAAAAAGAAAAAGGCACACAGAGCTACACAAAACTGGCACTTTAAGAACTTAATTGACTGAAAGAGAAGGCGGAGGCAGATCAGATTGAATGGAAACATGTAGTTGGATTGTTTTCTAAAGATTTATTTGAAAATTCCTGAGAAAAGTGGATGTGGAGAGAACAGAAACAGACCTCCAACCATCCTTTTCTGCATAAAACTTTCCTTTTCTCTCATCTCTGAAGTATTCTGCTTTGCCAGTAGAAAGAGAAGAGAAACAGCTGTTCCAGCTTTGCTTATGCTTGCAGTGATTGTTCTGTGTGTTGCTGCCAGTTCTCATTCCTCCATGGTCAGGAAGAATCAAATTGTTTAGAGGTGTAGGTGTCCCCCACACTTCTTTACTGCTGTGTCACCTGGATTGTAAACTGTTTTCTGCTCTCAGTCTTGGTGTTCTACTTCCGTTTATAATCATGCTTAAAGGACACGGATTCAGTCACTACACGTTGTGCTATTGTCAGGCTATGCTCCTGCATTCCATACAAAGTGATTTAACACAACTTCAGCTGATATGGCCAGCTTGAGTAGATAAGTTAAGCATTAGGACAGAGTCGCTGAGAACTGTGAGGGGGAAAAATTAGAATGAGTACAGTACTGAGATTCTTTCCAAAGCTGAATTCTGAAATAGCATTGTATTTTTAGACAATCTTTCTTGCTTTAAAAACACAGTATGTAATCACATTATATGGTGTTTAGCTATTTTCCTCTGGCATTTCTCCAATGCACAAATACTTCACACCTCTCACATAAATAAAGTATGAAACTCATTGCCAAAAGATACATTGAAAGTGTTAGTGGGTTCCAAAAGGGATTAGACAGGTTCTTGGGGAAGCTTCTTTCCACACTATGGAACGTGATAGTTGGGATGATACAGACTGTTTTAACTCTTGACTGCTAGAAACTGTATAGTAATGTTATGATCCTTGTGGTGTTCGTGCTGCATCTTGTGCTAAGTTCCTAAATATCTCGTGCTAGCTGTTGTCACAGGGGAAGAACTGAGACATCAGTTTGATATAGAACAGTATCTCCTATTTTGCAGCACATAATGTTCCAGATGCTGCACCTCATTGCTTGGGATACTTGAAAAGTTATGAAACGTTCTATGAAACACCACAGTTCAGTTCTTGATTGCTGCAGTATTTGAAATGGTACTTCTGGAAATTTGAGTAAATCAAAGTTATGCATTGGTTGATTTCAGTGTTGGGGAGAGTAGAAAATGGAGCTGCATATAGGTACATGTACAAGATCAGTAGAGAATTACAATGTAGTAATAAGAATTTTTTTTTATCTCAAGTTGGTTGAAATTTCAGTTAATAACCATATATTGTAGGTCAGATCAAAAGTTCTTTCAAGTGAGTGTGCCTGTTGATTTCAGTGATGTTACACCTGCTTATATCAGTTGAGCTGCTGGTTAATATATTTAAGGAATTAAGTATATTCATATATTTAAAATATGCATAAATAATATATATAAATCTAAACTTAGTTTATATAATCTTTATAAATCTAAATATGCTTTTCTGTTACTGTCATTATCAGTAGATACTGCTAGTGCTAGGTTGTACAGGTAGGCCAGGTTTTGGGGAACTGCTCACAGATGCAAACATTTGGTCACGCATTCAGAAAAGCTTCCCAGAAATGTGGGTTGTAAGCATTGATAAACTTAACCTTCTCATAATTTAAAAGAATATTCAGAGAAAGCCAACCGTGTCCTGGGCTGCATCAAAAGAAGCATTAGCAGCAGGTCAAAGGAGGTGATTCTCCCCCTCTACTCTGCTCTCGTGAGACCCCACCTGGAGTACTGTGTTCAGATGTGGGGCCCCCAACATAAAAAGGGCCTGGACCTGTTGGAGAGAGTCCAGAGGAGAGCCACAGAATTGGTCAGAGGGCTGGAGCACCTCCCCTATGAGGACAGGCTGAGAGAGTTGGGGTTGTTCAGCCTGGAGAAGAGAAGGCTCCTAGGAGACCTGATGGCTGCCTACCAGTACCTGAAGGGGGCCTACAGGAGAGATGGGGGGGCACTCTTGATCAGGGAGTGTAGTGAGAGGACAAGGGGTAATGGTTTTAAGCTGAAAGGTTGGAACTCAGTGATCTTTAAGGTCCTTTCCAACCTTTCCAATTCTATGAATTTTTTGTTATTACCAATGGCAGCAATAAAGGGTATCACTGTTGTGGCTCAGAAGGGATAATTTGCAATACATAACATGGGGTTTTTTTATATATGTGCGTGTAATCTGAAATAGCAATACAATCGCAGCTCACATTACTGACACAGAGAACTTTGACCTTTAGCCATTTACTTGCTTGTTACTCACAAAGGTGTGACAAGACATCAGTTCAAAACAATGCTGCCCTTGAAGGATAATTTGATTATTTTTTTTTTAGTAAAATTAAATCAGTTTCTCCTATATGTATCAAGAACTGAAATTCATTACATGTGTATTAATTATGTTGCTTTTGAGTATAGAATACCTGACTTCAGAAAAACAGACAGATGTAGATACCTTACCTGAAGGGCTTTGTCTCCATGTGTTGAATTAGTAATTGGTGCACCTGTGGGTCCTTTACAGGGGATTGATTCCTCTTCTGATTTGCCACTGTACGTATTTAAACTACTTCTCTTGTGGAAATGGGACAAAACTTACTTCTATAAAATGCAGGATATCCTTAAATGCAGATGAACTTTGATTCTTTCTCCCTTCCCACACCTCCAGTTTCATATACTCTTAGAGAAGATTTAGGATTGCCAAAAAATCTTGTGACCAGTATGTTACTCTGTATTTTCACGTAAACACCTTCCTCACTTAACATCTTTGTATAAAATCTGATTTCAAGATATGTGCAAATACTTGTCTGTATTTAGTGTTAGTGCTGGTAGATGATGATGAATCCACTCTAATCCGTTCTCCGATTATGTGTTTGCATATGTGTTTACCATTTGTTTATCTATAAATACTGCTGTAAAGAAAACGGTTAAATAAGACAGTTCTGTCTCTTCTGCATGAAAACTGTAGAAGTAAAACTGGTAATAACTGGGAGATGCAGAGGCTTTGATTTCTACAGCATTATGGCCTAGCTGTACCTCCCAGACCATTACAGATTAATATTTGCATTGTATAAAACCTTGGGTTTCTGATTTTACTTTTATGAAATCCAATATCTCTATATATTTATGAAATATATGTTTCTAGGTAGATACCTATTTGTATTCATATGTATTTATTGAAGAACTATTGAATATTTTTCAGTCTACAAAGTGCTAGAACTTGTGTTTCATGTCCCTAGGAAGTACTACATATTAAGCAAAAGTAATCAAATAATCTCTCTTCCTCTGCTTTCACAATATAATGGTTGTCTAAAATGCTAGTGATTTAGTAGCAAGGTTCCACCAGGAGATAGGAAAGACACTACCAATTATAAACATGGTTGTATTTGCAAGAAAACAGTACTGATAAGATGCATAGATTGCATAGATTTGCTGGCTGCCTGCTTACTCAAAAATTGTTTTGCTGTGGCTTTGAAAACTACATGGTTTTGCACTGATTTTATGCATGAAGTATCGTTCTGACTGACTGATAAAATCTTAATAGACTGACTTAGCCATTCTTTCTATCGGAGAATAGCCATTCTTTCTGTCTATCACTTTGGCCTAGGTTTTGAAGGTTGGCGTGGTGTGTGCAGATCGTACAAGAGTTTATCATAATTTGAAGCACTTCAAATACAAGTTGTATGTGGATTGCAGCTCCATTACCGAGTTGGATGGTCTTGAGGATGAACCAGTCAAAGACACAGTTGAACGACTTTTCAGCCAGTTGGACGATAGTGGGTGGATTCAGAAGGTACAACTGAGTTATTTGATGTATCTTTTTCCAAGTAGATAAAAGTAAGCTAAGATGTCTGATTTAATTGATCAGTTCTGAATTACTGGGCCTCAATAATATAACATCGTTTAACCATTCATCCCCTTCTGCTGACCCAGTCTATCAAACAGCGGTATGCTGCTGCATTCACATAGAGTTTCTGTCAACTTTTGACATGAAGCTTTTCGACAGCTGCATGATCTCTGGGCTGTGGTGGGCAGGCTTCTGTTTCATTTGAAAGCAGCAACCCGACAAACCCAAGCTATAGCTTAGAAAGATTGGAAACAAGTATGTGAGGCACAGCAAGAATATTTTACTCTTCTGTTTACGCTGAAGTACTTTGAATTGTTCAGAAACACTTTATGAACTATTTTAAGACAATTTGTAGTACAATTGCATTTAGCAAGCTTTCAGGTATCATTGCACCTGAATGGCTATTGGCATGCTTGTTAATGTATTAAAGAAAAAGCAATCTTTATGGAATTCAGTTATTAAACATTAATAAAATAATAATTCAGGTTTTATTTTATTTGCAGAGATATAATGATCTTGAAGACTACATGAATGATGCAGACAATTTCCAAGAAGAGAAAATGGATTAAGTGGTCATATAGCTCTTTGAAAGACATCTTGTAAAAATTTGAATGGCCTGCTTTATCTGCACGTACTTTATCTTTGGTCTCTGTTGTAGTGCCGAAACAAGGACAGCCTTCAAGATTTTTACACTATATTTTACTTCAATACATGTGCCTTTAAACTACTGTTTGAGAATGTGCTGTATCTTTTGTTCTCTGTCAATAATAACACAAAGTTTTACCAAATCATTCCTTCCAGTCTTACTGCATAGGTCACTTTAAGTTTCCTTCTGTTCTTAAAAATAACATCTCAATATCTGTTTACTTGTGAAATAAAGCTTCCACCTATTTATGTTGAGCTGCATCGTGGGGAAGGTGGGAGATGCTGAGACCTTTTGAAGCAGGTGTATTTGGAAAGGTAAGGCTACGTTATATAGGAACATATGACTTGTGTCTTACGTTCCTTGTTATATGCAAGTAAGTCCACTATTTAGGATGATAGTTACAATAAACAGGACCAAAATGCAAATCTCTGTTTCCCTCTGAGGAATCGGTATAGACTGTTGCAAGGCAACAGAGGAAATATTCTGCAGTCCTGAGTACATTTGTGGCAGAGAAGTCATTCCTCTCTTCAGAGAGTAGGTGATGAGTCATGTTATAGGCATCATACAGACTGAGTCTGGCCTAGCCATCTAAATGAACACTTGGGCCCACAGTGCTGTCTCTGATAAGCAGTTGGGGCAATTTACGAAGGTTTTAAACATCCAGTTACACTGTGCAAATGTAATGGCACCAACTTGCAGTAACTAAAAAATTTAAGAAAATGGATTAATGTGGCCATGCAAGATAAGATTACACTGTGCAAATGTAATGGCACGAACTTGCAGTAACTAAAAAATTTAAGAAATGGATTAATGTGGCCATGCAAGATAAGCAAGATTTCTTCCAGTGTAACTTCACAGAAAGCAGAAGTTACTCAGAATCATAATTCATGGCTTACCTGAATTGCATGAAGCCCAAATTAGCATTCTTTGTGGCCAGGAGAGCAAATTTTTGAAGAGTTGGGAAAGGTTAAGTTCCGTAATGTCCATTCTGAAAAATTGGACATGAGCTGGCAGTGTGCGCTTGCAGCCCAGAAAGCCAGTTGTATCCCGGGCCGCATCAGAAGAAGCGTGACCATCAGGTTGAAGGAGGTGATTCTTCCCCTCTACTCTGCTCTCATGAGACCCTACTTTGGAGTACTGCATCCAGGTCTGGGGTCCCCAGCACAAGAAATGCATGGACCTGTCAGAGCGGGTCCAGAGGAGGACCATGGAAATGATCAGAGGGATGCAGCACCTCTCCTATGAGGACAGGCTGAGAGAGTTGGCATGGTTCAGCCTGGATAAGAGAAGGCTCCGGGGAGAACTTGTTGTGAACTTTTAGTACTTAAAGGGGGCTTATAAGAAAGATGAGGACAGACTTTTTACTAAGGCTTGTACTGACAGGACAAGGGGCAACAGTTTTAAATTGAAAGAGAGTAAGTATAGATGGACATAAGGAAGAAATTTTTCACTGTGAGGGGGGTGAGGCACTGGAACAGGTTGCCCGAAGAAGTCGTAGATGCCCCATCCCTGGAAGTGTTCAGGGTCAGGTTGGATGGGGCTTTGAGCAACCCAATCTAGTGGAAGATGTCCCTGGCCATTATGACCTTTAAAGGTTTCTTCCAACCCGAACCATTCTATGATTCTGTCCCTGTATTTGGTGCTGCATATAAAATTAATTAGATGTAGCTTAAGATAAGGTGCAGGTTGCAGGGTTTTGAATCCAATTAGGAACTGTTCCTAACTCCTGCTGTATCCATATACTCTTTTATTAGTCTTTTGTGGCTGAGCAGCTTGGTAAAAGGGAAGATATTGTTAACACTCTAGATTCTTTTAACAAGTTGCTCTCTCAGAAGCAAGACTAATGACACCTCATTTCTCACTGATTTGTCCATAAGAACTCCCTGTGTTCGTTATGTCACTCTACAGGTAACAGATACACTGATCGGTGAGGAAGCTGACGGCAGGTATATTGTTTAATGGTGACCATCTCTTGGCTTATTTCCATTGGAATTGTACTGAATGACAAATCTAAGGTACCTTTTTTCCAGCATTCATTGTAAGAAGTGAACTGCTTTTAGATTTTAAGGGATTGAAATTCAGCAATGGTTTATATGTTATTGGAGTGAACTAATATCATCAGTTCTCCCTTGTACCACATAAAGATAACAAGATTTACAAACCAAGATGAAAAATCCCAGTAAACAGATTGAGACTAACTCTCAAGTAAACTTATGTTGAAGATATTTCCGTGACTTAACTGTGAGTTAGATATGTAAATATTCTGAGATTTTATGTATCTTATACCTATCTCCCTGGTTACCAAAGCTGAAGGAACTGTTTTCTCTTTTTTTTCCTTCTTCATCCCTATTCTGCTGGGAATATTGGTGAGAACACACCCCTCAACTTAAAAATACTCAGGAATCCATCTCAAATATATCCATTTTAAGAAAAGTCATGCCCCTTGATGCCCCTCTTCCTTCTGTTAACAAAATCGCTGTACACTTTCATTGGTTTCTCTAGAATAATAAAATAACATTTATGTTTTCTGTAACTTTATTCTTACAAAGGAAAAGTGTTCTGAAATAAATGGGGTTTGTACCACATAATGGAGTATGCCTCTCAGAGTCTTTCTGACTGGTCTTAATTTCTGCTGCCTTCTAAATTTTCTGAAGACTCTCAAGAATGTCTGATTTTTTAATTTAAAAATTCTGCTATTAGAATGAATGGTTGATTTCTCATTTTTGCCATCTTTAAACTGTTTGCTACCAAATTAAAAAATAAGTTTGGGAAAGTTTGGCTTGCTGATTACTAGTCATATTTCAAGAACACATACATTTTGATTGAAAAGGAAAATTGGCAAATTATTCCAGTGATTAATGGCACTCATTTTTATATCTACCACATCCCAGATCATGCTTCTTCCCTCTTCTTTGTTCACCTAAAGAGCATGAACTATCTACTTCTTTATTGTTCCTGCAGGCACTTTTTTCCAGATCTTATGTTTTTCTGTTTCTAATAGGGATATAAAAGTAACCTGTTAGAGAGTCTTGGAAGAAAATGCCTCCACAAGTTTATTAATCTTGTCTATGGTATCACCAGTTGAACTAAGAAAATGCCTAGAATTGCCATCACTGATTCCTATTTCAGTAGGAAACTGATACTTGATTGGCTTGGCAGGGACTGACATAAAGCTTGTATGTGGATAGTCTCTCTTAAACTTTTATATTCTCCTCACTGAGATTTGAGGAAGTGATAATATTTTTGTGGCTGTTGTTTTAGCTGAAGAGTTTCTGCAAGACAGAGAATGTGAAGTATCATTGCATCTTGTTTACATTTGCCTTCACCACAGGAAATGAAAAGATTGTTTAGAAGACCCGTATATGTAAAAATTTACATCAAATTTTCCAGGACAGGCTCTAAATGCTAGTACTTGTACAGCAGGAAGAACAAAGAGGACTGTTACCCAATGAGACTATCTATATATAGAAATACTCAGTAGGAATATTTCTAGCAGAAAAATTTTATCCAAATATCTAATGATGGGAGAAGTCAGAAATCTGACCAGTGTCTCATACTTCCTTTTCCACATTAGAGAATTTCAGTGGAGTTAGGAGGTGAGAGACTATAATGTTTGTTCTGATAGAACATTTTACTTGTCTTTAGTGTTGATTTTTGAAGTAGTAGCTCTAATTTAAGATAAAGTACCTGTCTTAAGGGGACAATGAAGGGAGCTCAGTATGTGACTAGACTTGGAGCAGGTGATTAATGATCATACTTGGAAATTACTTCAGTTCCTTTAATGTTTCAACAATCTGCTCTAGTTTAAGTTCTGCAACTGGTCTATATTCTATGTCCAGTTCTTGCAGTGAAGTATGAAAAGAAGTGATTTTTGTCCCTGTGTCCCTCAATTTTTAGAAAGAAAGTCCTTTGTGGATGAAATGGGATGGTGAACTTTGCTAATAGTAGATAGCTGTTACTGTCAGTTTTTTCGACAGTGAAGGCTTCTGCTGTTTCCAAAAGGCAGCTCTTTCTAGCAGTTCAAAAAAAACAAGCAACTCCCATGCTTAACTTTTCTAGTTTACTTTTATTTGGATAAATAAAGACTTGTAGTTTTATCCTTCTTTAAGTCTGTCTGGATAAACAGAGTGGGTGTGTTAGATAAACACATGTAAATACAATACTCCAAGAAAAATATCCAGCACACACAAAATAGACGTTACAAGGTTGACTTTCTGATTCTGCTTTGAGAAATAAGAAATAACAGTTTCTGATCTGAATTTAGAGGTGAGACAAAAGAATGTAAGAAAGTTTGATCTACCAGCCAACGAATAATAGGTGAAATGGTATTAAAAGAACGTGATCATACCCCCCTCACTGTCTCTACTTCCCTCAATAGTTTATGTAAATTTTGGTATTTTTCTAGGTAATAAGTGATGGCATGGAGTTGTTTTGATTTGGTTTGTTTTTCCCTGTTGTTTATTAAATAAGATGTAGACACAGTTTCATTAGTTTGCTCTGGGGATTATATTCTTAATTTAAAAACTGGTGTGTGTTCAAGGTGGCTTATTTTCTCATTGTCTCCACTTCCCTCAATAGTTTATGTAAATTTTGGTATTTTTCTAGGTAATAAGTGATGGCATGGAGTTGTTTTGATTTGGTTTGTTTTTCCCTGTTGTTTATTAAATAAGATGTAGACACAGTTTCATTAGTTTGCTCTGGGGATTATATTCTTAATTTAAAAACTGGTGTGTGTTCAAGGTGGCTTATTTTACAGTTTAAACAGAGCAGTAATTGCATGTGCCTTGTGCCCAAAATTGAAGGACAGGAAAACTGACTCAGATGCAGTCAGACTCTGCTCCAAAGTTAAACAGGTGAGCTGCGTGGTATGTGAGGCTGCCTGGCTGGGAATACCCCAGGAGATACATGTGTGTATAAATGTAATCATTCAAAATGG